CAAAATGTTATTTTTATAATACAATTTATATTGTGTGTAACAACAACGGGAGGGAAATGTCCCTTAACTGTTAATAATATATTATATTTTAGACAAATACGTAGTATATTATTTTTAGCGATTACCGTTTTAATATTACACCAAAATTTTAGAATCACGTGCTTTCATTATAAGATGTTGCATACGACCATTTTTTTGCAGGTTGTTGAGAAAAAAAAAAATGGCGAAGGAAGTTTCTGGAGAATATGGTTCAATGTTTGGACCACCTTCTCAACCGGTTTATAACTGTTGCGCTGGAGAAATCTCAAACAACCTAACGAATACTTATACAAATTTTACATCGATTTCACCCAAATCCGATTCTTCGCACAGTAAAAATGCCCAACCCCAGGAATTCGCATCAACGACTCAGGTGTTTAAACATTCTTTAATAGAGTCAACAGCGCCTCAAATCACGCAGACTATAATCGCAGGAGAATGCTGTAGCGAGTGTTGCCCAGTGGCTGCTGCACAAGCTGCTGCATCTAGTCGAGAAATAGAATCCGAACAAACCACGAATAAGCAAGATCTATCGAATAGCCCTCATCAATCTTGCCTTATACAAACCACGAACAATTGTGATAAAGAGTCTCGACGATCATCAGCTTTTCGTTCTATAGTGTCTCTTCCACTTCCTAATACACTCCAAGAGGGCTTTGTTTCAATATGTGTTTCCAACGATCAGAAGGACTCTACGACTTCGGCTCATGGGTTGTATTCAGAATTTTCCTTTAAAAAAAGTAATAGTAATATGAGTGTAAAATATCGGGTATTGTTAATTTGTTTTACTTAGAAATGAATTTTCTTTTGTAGTATCTAATTTCAAAAAAGTTGGACTTCGAAGAAAAACCGTGAATTATAACTATAATTTCACATCAATTAATTAATCAATAATAACATTGTTATTTCACTTCCAGATTCCCGAAGTTTCAAAGAGTTTCGATCCACCTAATATTAGTAACTCTTCAACAAATTCACAGGATGTGGTTTCACAGAACACTAGTTTAACTCATAATTTTGATCAGAAGTCGAATATAATTGGAAAAAATGATGATGACACGTTGTGCGAATTACCTTCTCAATCATCGTCCGATATTGGAGATGTAACAGCATCACCATCATCCAAAGACTTGAGTTCTGTAGCGGGGACCAAAAGAAAACATGAAGAAATCATTGATGAGACACGATGCCTTTGGGCAACGTGTGCAGCAGTATTTAGTTCCATTGATGACCTAATACCACATCTTTCAAAGTTGCACGTGGCTGGTCGTAGTAAGGGCAACTTGTGCCGGTGGGCGTCGTGTTCCAAGGAAAAGGAAGGAAGCGATGAGCTGATTCAACATTTATTCTCAGATCATCTAAGAACGCAAAATCCACAACACGGATGCAAGTGGCAAGGATGCTATTTACGATTTGTGACATTCGAAGAGTTGACAGGTCACGTTAGCGAAGGTCACATTGGTTGTGGTAGAAGTGAATATATTTGTTATTGGGAACAATGCGACCGAAAAGGACGCCCATTTACGCAACGTCAAAAGGTCATGAGGCACATACAAACTCACACAGGTAACAATTCTATGATAATGAATGAATTTATTCCTTTGGTATCGGTCACATTTACTCAAACTCAAACATTCTCCACAGGAGATAAGCCGTATCAATGTACCATTTGCAAAAAAAGATTTTCAGAAGCCAATATAATGACCCAACACATGAGAACACATACTGGTGAAAAGCCCTATAAGTGCCCAGAACCTGAATGCGACAAGACGTTTTCGATTTCCGGGGCTCTTACCATACATTTGCGTGTACACACGGGTACTTGAAATTTTGATTGAGTTTCTTAAAAAGGAACTTGGCGATCATATTAATCATGCGCATCACAATTATTAAAATAGGCGAAAAACCTTTCAAATGTAAATTTGAAGGTTGTTTCAAATACTTTGCCGAATCTTCAAACCTCACTAAACATGTATGTTAAATTCTTGGATATAGTGATATTGCTGATAAAACCATGCTAACGGAGATCCATGTATCATTAGATGCGAGTGCATACTGGCGAACGTCCGTTCAAATGTCCAGTTAATACTTGTAATAAGAAGTTTTCGAGACCAGATCAAGTTACGCGACACCAGAAGACTCATACCAAATAATATTGTATGCAATTGAGTGGAATGTCCTATTATATTTATGTAGTACTTAAGTGCGTAGATGTTACAAGGAATGAAAAAATTTATTGCTTAATTGCTGTTTAAAACCATCATTAGTTAGATATATTTTTTTGTTGCTTTATATACAATATATGCATCTTTGGTAATATTTATCACCACATTTATGAAACACGAAGATATACTTATAATACATAAAAGGACGAGTACGAGTAAAACCAATTAACCAAACACGCCTGAATAAGACTGACCAATTTGATATATAATATACAGTATAATCAGGGTTTCGTGATCAAATGAGCGATTTCTTTCCAAGAGTTAAAGTTATTAGATGATAATAATAAGTAGAGTAGATCATCGTTAAGCTAATTAATTATTAATAAATTAGAATCAAACCATCTTGAAAACATAATAAATAATTCTTTACTTGATTTTAATGAAAAATTTAATTTACGAGGTAGGTAAATATGATATTAATTTCAAATTAGGAAATAACAGGATAAGATTTGTATGAGTATCGATTTTGAATGAGGTTTTCAAATTTCTATGAATATAACTTTTATAAAATTACTATTAATAACAAACGTTTAATAGCATATTATTGCATATTATTAATATTAAATAAAATTAAATTCTTGATATTCTTTTTTACCGATACAATATTTTTGACAACACAAATATACAGTAAGTACATAATATCAAGAAAATATTTACTGTAAATAAAAATAAAAATAATAAAAAATGATATGATTTGCCATCCTGTCTATGTTGATGTTTTAAGTTCACAAGTGTCAATTCGAAAATATCACCAAAGGTGTCATTTTGTTTTTTTTCTTTAATTATGGTAATCTAATATTTGATATTTTTCAATTTCATTTTCCCCCATTTTCTATATGAGAATACTGTAAAATAAGCATCACACGATATGCCTTTTTTTATATACTGTATATACTGTATGTATTAGTTTAATTGATGACATATGATGAACTACAGAGTCAACCTATTTAAGCAATTCTTAAAAATCTTTTGAAGCCGGGGTCGGAGATCCCAATCGAATGATGCAGATGCATAGACGCTGCACGAAAGGTCTTGTATTGGACAATTAACCCATAAATAGAGTCGACATTTTTAATTTGATTTTTAAATTTTCACATAGTTATTAATCAATGGGGGTCTAGCTCAGATGGTAGAGCGCTCGCTTAGCATGCGAGAGGTACGGCGATCGATACGCCGGTCCTCCAGAAATTTGATTTTTTTTTTTTGCGTCACTTGATGAATTACGTAATTGCGTGAACGAAAGGAGAGGCTCAAAATAACCATGTGAACATGTGAAAATAGAATATAAATCCCAAAAATCGAAACCCGAGCATTCAGGAATCGATGTATGACGCCATCACCAGATCCTACGTACGTAATCATTTGGCGTAGTGGCGAATTTTAAAAAAAGATACAATAAGGTTTCAACATGTTCATTTTCAATAATTCATGTTACCGATTGTGGTAAAGATGACCCTTATAATTTAACAAAGTGCTTCATCTTATTTAAAACACGGTATTTAATGACGGCAATCATAATTGATTACACAGGTCACGGAAGGTGAGATGGATAACATTACTATTACAGTACCCATATTAACGATATGTTATATAAAACTATATACTATGGCAACCAAGGTTAATGCCGGACAAACATTTAAACATTCTACTACCAAAAAGGCAAATGGAATCGGAATGTCGGCGGTATATAGTTATTTTGAAGATAGGATAGACAATGGAACATTTCCCCCTTAAAGAAAAAGGCACCGAATTTTATTTTTTTTTTCTTGATCACCTTTTTTTTTTTCTTATACAAAATATTACGGCTCTGTTCATGCTGGCGTGGAACACCGTCTAGAGGAATTATTAAAAAATACTCGCAATACTCTTATTAAGGGATTTTTTTTTTTTTTTTTTTTGGGTGCCTTGTTTCTCTCAAATAATAAAAATGAGTCAACAAACCAGCAATAAACCCACGGTAAAATTAAATTTTAAAGCATTAAAGATAAAAGAAAAGGTCACAAATTGGGTGAGTAGCTCCCTCCTTATATGGAATACCTGACATTAATAAATAATATGCAACATTGCCTCACTCTCTTGACCTCAGTATGTCAAGGCGACCGAATCGAAATGGACGTGCTTCTTCATTATCACCTCAATCGTTCAATCGATAATTGCTATTGTGATGGAGATAATCATCGTCGAGAGAAATGAAAATGCTTCTTGGGAATTTCAAGTGCAAGCACAAAACGATACTTGCATTAGTTACTCGGTGGATCGGATTAACAACATTTATGGTGAAAACATAATCTTTATACTCTTCAATATTTTTCAAGTGTGGTTCTGTTTCAATGCGGTAAGAAAGTTTGAGATTGCGAAACATGAACTTTTTTTGATCAATAAATAATAATTCGATGCGTACATGTGTCCTCTTTCTCAGATTGTAAATCAGAACACAATTCAGATTATAACGATTGCGGTGATAAATTATCTAATTGGAATATTTGGTATTGTATGTATTACTTTCGTTTCTTGGTTTGCTTTGCACAATGTTCTGATGCATTTTTTTTATGTTCATCTAATTGACTCCAGATACAAATCGTGGAAATAGAAAAATGGAAAAAAACAGCAATAGAAAATTGTAATCTTTCCAGTTTCGACAGTTACGACCTTCAAATAGTGAGCCACGAACTTCCACTGATAATACTATCATTGCTGTGCGCAACTTTAATGGGATTCCTCACTTGGAAGTTGTATCAGGTGATTAAGGATTCCCGATTATTATTTTTTTTTTTGCCCTTGAAATGCTTGACTGAACCTTTTTCAACACGCTTAGGCATTTGGCTGGAATATCTATAAAAAGATTGGTGCCGATCCGAAAATGCAAGGTGGGTTTTTCTCGGCCAAGGATTTCTCTTTATTACGAACGCGCAATTCATTTATTCATTTTGTTTTATTCAACCCATTTTCTTAGGGATTTATCGGACGATGTTGATCTTTGTTATGTTGTTGAAATTGGATCTCTTCTTTATGATAGTGATGTCCATAGAAGTTTGTACCGTATTTAAGGTGAACGAACAAGGAGCAAGAAATCTTAGTGCCCCGCTGTATGTCATCCATGCAGTGGTAACCGGATCACTTTTTCTCCTGCAAACGCTTGCCTATCGTTCTGTAAGCATTTTTCCTTCTCTTCGCACACATTCTCTTCTACGATTCTTATAGGTGTTCTTTCTTTTTCGAAATCTTAAAGTTAAACAAAGAATCGCATCTTGGCACGAAAATATTTATAGGAATGTTACCATTGGTGATTGCCGATTTTATAATGCTGCTTGTAAAATCGACCACAGCTTCCAAGCAAGATAGCTGGTATTTCTTAATTATTTATAGTAAGTTCCCTCCTCAAGTTATCTTCCCGCTTCAAATTTATCTTGAATCTTCTCATCAACCATCACACTTATTTTTTTTAATAGTCATCTCTGGTATCATAATGGCCATCGTGAGTACAGAATATCTCTAAATTCTTTCGCGTAACTTGAAAATTTTATGAGGACTAAATAATTTCTTAACATACATTTCCAGTTGACTTTCATTTGGGCTATATTCCTCCTAAAAAACTTTGATAAAGGATTGAAGAAGCACCGTAAGTGTCTTGTACATCACTCGTATATGTACCGTATTTACATTTCCTAACACCTGATTTATTATAAATTAGTTTGTCAGATGAATCTTGATGTATCACCATATGATGCTACGTCAGAAACACATTCGACAGGCACGAGGCCCGGTTCGCCAATCCGTTGGGCCATTGATGACGACGATTAGAGCCAATGATAAAAAAGGATGTGACGCGTTTTGAATGTCCATCGAAAAAGAAGAAAGATTGCATACCCGTTCACCTCAGATGTATAATTATATACCACATTGTGTTATCCATAATTTCCATAAATCGATAATTTCAAAAGTATTTGTAAGACTTTTTTTTATTTTTGTATAATAAAAATCTTTATTTTCTTCTAATATAAACAATGGATAACGTGATGTCGTTTACGCCACATCACCAGCGCTACAAGTTTTTATTTTAATTTCGTAAAACACGCATTCTCCGAATGGATAGAAAGAATAAATCACGCTGTAAATACCTTGACCGCCTGCACAAAGGAAAGCAAGCCTCTTTTCTCCATTAGTAAAGATCACGATTAAATGTGGCGTGTAGAAAGTGGCTATAACCAAAATAACATGACCACAGGTTAGGCTATGAGATCGTATGTCGAATGATTTCGATGTTTAACGAGTGATCGTTTTAAAAAAAATAATATCGGTTCCAACGTCATCATCGTCTGCTACCCCCACAAAAATGTTGAGGTCGCATTTTAAGAATTACAAATCTTCGATTACTATAAATTATTCAGATATTTAAAATAAATCCTTAAAGATAAGTGTTATGCACAAGATGATCTAATGATCTAAGGAATCAAGTAAATAAAGATCACGAGAACTGTCCTCTATTTTTATAACCGCCGGATATATCTGTATATACATATTTGTTTGCAGGAGAGAACGAATGAATGATATTTAAACGGCGGAGCGGCTTCTTCAATTCCGAATTGAAGGTTTATTGTTATGACCAGTAGATGATTTCATAACTCTCATTTGCGAGTGAATGCATGAGTTCGTAACGAGATTACATATATAGGAATGTCATTATGATTTTCAACTCTTGTATGCATCAAAACATCTCGGAGGGTTGGACCCAAACTCCGCACGTACACACATTTTATTCCCACACGCGTTTCATTGAGCGTGCATGAATTGACATAAAAGAATCCCGAGAATTCTCTTCTTCGCCTCAAACTTTTCTTTTCCGATTTTTGGGATAACCCACCCTCGAAGAAAGAGAAAATGCAAATCATTGTTAAAAATATCACTGGAAAATGCATCGAAATCGAAGTTGAAGCTTGCGACACTATATTGAGTGTCAAACACAAGATACAAGAAAAGGAAGGTAACGACACATGTTTCATTTTTTATTCGTTCATTTATCCGCGAAAGATATCACATACCGACGAACGAACTACCGTAAACTTAATAGGGATCGAGCCAAAACATCAAAGGCTAATCTTTAAAGAGAAACAGCTCGAAGAAAGTAAAATGTTGTCCGAGTATGACATCCGAAACGGGAGCACCGTCCACTTGGTACTCCGTCTTCGCGGTGGCTTCTAAATACATTCTTCCGTCGCAATTTGCGAACGATGGAAGATCACAAACATTCCAATACTCTTTGGTCCTATCGAGATGGGATCATGTATATTCATTCTATGATTTTTCTTAACATTACCACCTGCCTGTATAAATTTTGTCGTATCAATTTGTAAAAATTCAAAAAAAAAAAAAATTTTTTTTTTATAAATATAAATTTTCAATGAAAACGAAATGTTGTTGGCTGAGTCTTAATTCGCATCAGGTCGGTAGGAATACTAGGGAACGGAAATCATTTGTGCATTCACACCAAGATTTCATGTTTATTCAAAGTTGGAAGCTAATTTCGTCTTTCATTTTGTCCAACCAAAATTTTTTTCGGGACTCTCGAAAATTACAATGACAATTGTATTATTGGATTTTTTTGAATCATGAATCCGAATAAATTCACTCGATTTCTTTGTTATTTAAAAAAAAATGAATGAATGAAAATATATGTGAAGAATTGTTTGATCCCCTTCTTGTAAGTCATATTGGTTCGCCAAAGACTTCTTACTCCCTTGACGCAGCGAGGGACGAGCGACTAGTGACATCGTGTACCAGATTATGACCCCACAATGAAATCACAGCCAACTCACAATAAAATAATGATCAAAGGAAATTATTAAGAGAAAGAAACTATTCTTGAAAGTGTTTATTCTCGAGGATGTCCATTAATATAAAAATAAACCTCTTTAGATGACAAAAAATTTACATTGTAAACGTTTATATCATTTTCACACAAGTTTGCGATCAAGATTGATCAATGGATTAACTACGATGATCGATCGCGGCTAAGTTCTCCTGACAGATTCGAGGTGGACGTCTTACTCTAAGAATTAAAGACTTCGGTCGTTATGATTTCAATTCCAAGTTCCCTTCTAATTTCATTGAAAATCCTCTCCTCATCTTCTCCCCAGTTTTTGTTTATGTTGTGGAAGTTGATTTCCACCTTTTTAACACTTTTGTTACGTCTCAGAAAATTCTTAATATAGGTGAGATGTCTCGGCTCAATGGGTTCCATGACAGGTTGAATCAACAAGGTTTCCAACAATTTCAGTTGACAATTGCCCAGAATTTGCTCGAGTGCATTTTCCATTAATTTGCATCCCTTGATCCTCAGATAGTTCAATGAATTTGGTAGATTTTTCCCCAAATCTGTGAACACCGGATCCAAATCCTCCTTTCCGTACAGTCTACCCCGAAAGACTGTTCTTTCCAAGCTGAATGCTTTTAACCGTGACTTTTTTATCCACGGTAAAATCGAATCGAGGTTATCGAACGACCCTTTGATGGTCAGCTTAGAAAGGTTTAGGCAATGATTTGTGACGGAATCCACGATTTCCTGAGTGAGTTGATCAAAGTCCAGATGTTTTAACTTCAAACCCCAGATTTTAATCAGTGCTGGAGCAATGTCCATGGAAAATGTGTTTTGATTTAAGATTAAAACTTTGGGTGTGAATTGTGACCTGGACAATATTTCAACCTGATCCAACGAAATACTATCACAATAGATGAGCTTTATTTGAACTATGTTTTTGCACTTTATAAGCACTTCCAAGGAACTATCGGAAATCTTGCTGAAGTTGATGCTGGAAAAGAAAATGGTTGTCAATGAGTCTTGTTGGAATTGAAGCGATGAAATAATTCGGCTAGCGCTTTTTTCTGCTTGGTAAAGATCAAAAATTTTAAGATTGTGTTGATTCGAAATTAAACTAACCAATGAATCAATGGACTTTACGGGCAAGGGGTTGATCTCTTCTCTGACGATAAAATGTGTCTTACGAAGGTTGCGACAGATGGATGAAAGGTAGCTTAGAATTTCCAGGGCTTGCTTATTTGTTGACGAATTGTTTTCGAGACAAAGGCTCAATTCGACCAATTTTGATAGTCCGTAATGACTCGACTTAAATATACTAGAGTTGGGAACCTCAATCGCTGACGCTAGGTTCAGAGATTTGAGATTCCTGCACGTGCGCATCAACATTTTTGTGATTGCTCTCACTACCGCCTGACACCGGTAACCATATTCCACTTCATTGTGTCCCTCACTTTTCAGCCATACGGATGCCACATTAAAAAGCAGGCCACAGTTGAAGTTTTCCAAGTAAGCCCCGTACTCAAATAGCAGAGGCGTTTGATTGTATCCAAATTTAAACGGAATCAAGGTTCTTTGTTCCTCGACATTCAGTGCTGAGAGGTAGGTCCTGATAGAGAGGTGCGCTTTTGGTACTCGATAATTAAAAGGTTTTCTCCATAGTAAAGGAACGATATTCTTACACCAAAAGCGATTCACAAAGAGACAGTTGTATAAGCTTGGTCGATCATCTACTAGGTGCTCGAATATTTCGGATTCGCACTCGTTCGGTAGAGATGTAAAGGTCAGCATTGGGTGAGAATTAAAAAATTACCGTGGGATAGCTTAAATAGATTCTTTTTGGTTTTTCATTGGTTCATCCAATTCAGTTCACGTGATAAATTAATAATTCATATATGCAAGTCTTGTATTAAATTATACGGTATTATGTTTGAAAAACAATTCATCAAGAAAAATAAATAATAAAAAGATTCATATACAAGGATTAATTCAAGAAAGTCAAAATTTCTTGATAGGCAATACAAATATTTCAAAAAAATATATTCCAATTATAAACTTATTAAATAAAAGCATTGAATCAAACTTTAACTAAAATATATAAGTATTTTATATTTATTTTAAAAAAAATATTGTAATTATTAAAAAAAGTTGATTTTAGAAATTCATATACAAACTTGTTCAATGAATTCTTGACAAGAAAAATATAAAAATTACATATTTGAGTATTAATCTTAATAACATCGGGTTTGATATGTTTATTAATAATTTATTATCTATTATTATTATCTTTATAACAAGATACAATAGATTTTAAATTAGTTATAAATTAAAAACAACAAAAAAATATAACAAATACAAATTTATTCAATATTTACACTAGTTCAAATAATTTATTTATTTGACATAATACTACTTATTAATCATTTGACAAAAAAGTAAATAATTTGATAAATTAATTAAAATTTATATAAAGTAATATAAATTTTATAATATAATTTGATATATAATTTGTTTATACTGTATATATATATATATTAATTTATTAAATTTTATTTGTCAAAAACTTAAAATAAAAATTAAAAATTTATTTTTTTTGATGCTAAATAAAAAATCAATAATTTATTTATTTTTATTAAATATATACAATCTGGTTTATAAAAAACCAGAATTGAATTTTTTGTATACTTTTTCTTCTACATACTTTTTTTTTACATTATTTTTTTTTTCTTTTTTTTTTTTTATCTTGTCAAAGCTAAATTTTTTTTTCTTCCTAAATGTTTTTCTTCTTAAGTCTTTTTTTTTTTTGAAAACTTTACTTTCATAATATTACTTTTCTAATTAGTTAACTCTTTTTTTTCAAGAATTATATTAAGAAGAAACAATTTCGCTTAAGATATAGACTTTAGAAAATATCTTTTTTTTATGACTACTTAGAAAAAGAATAAATAGTTTACCTTTTTCAAAAAATTGATATAGTTATTATTATCAAACTTGATATTGTTTACTAATTGATAATTAGATTAGATATATTCAAAAAACCTTTATACAATCATTATTACTTGAAAGTATTCAAGAAGTTATATTTCACAATATCCAAAATGAAATAATAATCAATACCAATGTAATTAATAATATATTAGGTTTGTTGCAAGTATTATATTAGTGATTAAAGAATTTAACAAAGTAATATATAATAATCAAAATTTTTAGTTATCTTTGTAAATGATCTAATAATAATAACAAAAAGTTTTTTGCTTATTTCTTAAATAATATAATTTATTATATAAGGTTAGATTTTAGTACCATTAAAAAAACCAATATAAACTTTACTTATAGAGACACTTTACTATACTTGAAATATAAATGTATCAAAATTTTTTTGTAACTTGAAAGCAAACATGTATAAAGTAACTATAATATCTTTATATAAAAAAATAGCTAGATATTATTTAAGATAATAATATAGATTTTAAAATTTTTATTTTTTTGTATTTCTTGAATAGTATCAAGATATATAAAGATATGGTTACTTTATGTAAGTCTTGTATTAAACTCTTTTATTTGTTTCTTCAAAATAATAATAATAATAATAGTTTTAGCAATAAGTAAGATATTGTGATAATAGCTGTTCAGAATCACTTGATGAGATATATTGTTTTAAAATTTCTTTTCAATATTAGTTTAGTGGTTACTGTAGGCAAGCTAGCATTTAACTTATTGTACTAATATATATAAGAGATGTTGCTTCTTTTACAATATATATCTATTATTATACAAATAAATAAAAAAATAATGTTTACTTACAAAAAAAATAAGATATTGTGATAATTTAAAAATATTTGAAAAAATATAAATTTGTTTAAAGTTTTTTAGTAATAAGTATAGATAATGTGATAATTATATTTATTTTAAAAAAAATTTTTAAAAAATTCTAATAATTTTTGATATATTTTAAGCTAAAAATCAAAATAATTAATGAAATTTAAAAAATACAGTATTTTAAATATTTAAAAATTGTTTATTGTATTATGAATTTGAAATATAATTTATAATAACAAATAAACTTTTAAAAATTTTTAAAAATATCAAAGGTTTTTAAAATTAATATAATAAATATCTATTCTAAAGATTATAATAAAAATATATATACAAACCAATTTTTAATTTTGAAAACAATATAATTTAAATTAAAGAAAGTTTGATAAAATCTGAAATACTAAAAATAAAAAAAATTTTGATTTTAATATAAGATAATTTAATATTAATATTTTGTTTTAAAAAAAATTATAAAATAATAAAATCTTTTATTAGATTTAATAAATTCTAATAATTTTAATAATTTTAATGAAAAACAAAATACTATTATAGTTCAGGATATTTTGACAAAAAATAAATTTGTTCAAAATACTTTGGCAATAAATATAAATAATATATTGTAATAGTTATATTTATTTTAAAATTATTTAATAATTTTTAATATATTATAAAACAAAAAATCAAGATAATAATTAATTTTTTTTCAGTGTATTATAAATAATAATAAGATTTAATATAAAGGTTTTTAAATTATATAAAATTATTTAATATATTGTTTATTATTATATAAATATTTTTAATATTGAAATATATTTAAAAATAACAAACAAACTTTTAAAGATCTTTGATAAATTAAGTTTATATATTGATTCTTCACTTTGAACGTCTCTAATGAAAATGTAGGTTTTCTAAATTCTTTATCTTGAAAAACTCTGAATTTTCTATTTAATTAATTTATTAATATATTTTTTTATAATAAATAATTAATAAATAATTAGATTAAGATAATTTTAATATTAAGGATTCAAGAATCACATACAAATCCATAAATAACATATTAACAGATATTTTATTAATAATTTGACTTTAATTGTTTTATACACAAATTAATATACACATTAGTAAACAGTTTAATTAGAAGTAAAAAAAAAATATATTAATTGAAATATTAAATAACCAATTTTTATTCGGTATAATTGGCAGTGATGTTGATCATGTCATTTGTGAACATGACTTGCAGATGGTTAAAAATCACATTTTTCGTATTTGTAAGGTTTATACTTCGAAAGTAAATAACTAGCATATTCAATTATGTCTGCCGTGTCCACCGCTTCTCCTGTTTCCATTCCACATCCTCATTCCCAACTTTATACTTGTTTGGCTTGTCAAGTCGCCTTTAACACTGCTGGGGATCAAAGAAGCCATTATGGTACTGACTGGCATCGTTACAATTTGAAAAGAAAGGTTACCGAGTTACCCCCTATTACATATAGTGCATTTGAAAGAAAAGTTTTAGGTAAACAAACTTTTTACTCGCGGATCTTACGTTTTCTTTGATTTAATATTCTTCTTTGAATAATTACAGCTCAGCAAGCCCTCAGCAAGAGTGCGATCGAAGAAAGCAGTTTCTCTGCCGAATGCTCTGCTTGCGGGTAGGAAGTTTATCAATTAAAAATTCCCCATCGTGTTCATTTGAATTGTACTAAATCCAATAAAATTAAAGCAAAACCTACTATTCAAAAAATGCCTATGCGAACCATTTGCAATCCAATAAACACAAAATCTCTGAAACCAAAGCTGCTCAAGAAGGTAGTCTGCTGCTCGAATGACTATTTAATGAATAAATTTTTTTTACAATTACAGTTCTAATGTTCAGTAATTCATATTTAGGTAAGTTACAGAAAAAGAAAAGCTCGGCGAATTTGCAAAAGGATGGTGACGCTCTTCAGGAAGAAGTAGTACAACAAAGTATCGAGGAGGTACTGTTAACCAGCACTCAACGTAAAAAAAGAAAATGTCTAAATGTTTTTTTAAAATACGATAATTTAGGTAATCGACAAAAAAATTGCAGCTTCCGTACGATTGGAGGAGATTGACTGCCTCTTCTGTACACAAAGATCCGAATCCTTTAGTGCCAACATGACACATATGACCAAAGTTCATAGCTTTTTCATTCCAGAAGCAGAGTACCTGGTAGATCTTTATGGTCTGATCAAGTTTTTAGGCGAAAAAATTTCGGTTGGCAACGTATGTCTATATTGTAATGGAAGGGGTAAAGGTTTAAAGAGCATTGAGGCTGTGCGAAAGCATATGGTATGTGGGTTATTACAACCTTTTTTTTTCTCCCTTCGGACTTACATATTTAATCTCGATAATTATATTATTTGAATCAGGTCGATAAGGGCCATTGCAAAATAGCTTATGACAGAGATGAAGATATAATGGAAATTGTAGACTTTTATGATTTTACTTCCAGTTATCCCGTTGAAGAAAGCGAGGAAGGGTGGGAGCACGTCAATGATGATGAATGGGAAGATATTGAAGACGATGCAGACAGAAATGTGGACAAAGAAGAACTCCCTGGGAGGTATAGTCTGATGTAATTTAAGAGATACTTTATATTTTTTTTATCTAATTTTCTTTTTCTTAGTGGATCAATATACGAAGATGACATGGAACTAGTGTTACCCTCTGGGGCTCGCCTTGGACATCGTTCATTACGGAGATATTACAAACAAAGCCTGCGGCCTGAAGAGGTAGGTGTCAACTAACTCGTTAATGCTTTAGTACTTGATATTTATAATTTTTTTCATTGGTAGGAACGTGATTCTATCATAATTAATCGTCTAATTACTCAATATGGTGAAAGTTTTGGTTACACCCGAAATCCTGGAGGCGTGTTTGCTACTAAAGGTGGTCGAGTCAAGCGAAATCAAACTATAGCCATTCAGGATAAACGTCGTCAGCAAGAATTCGATTCACTTGTTGGAGTGAAGGCCAACAAGTTACAACGTCATTTCAGGGCACAAATATTATAGAATGATAGAATACACGTCAATGAGAATTTTCAAGAAACATCGCAAGATGCGCGTTCACTTCATTGAAGTTCATTTTATTAATGCAGTTAATGAGCAATAAATTATATTAAGCGCCTTTCTTATTAAATATACAATTATACTAAGAAATAATGATTTTGAATTTGCCACTTAAGTCATCCACTGTTTTTACTCAACATTTCGCGTATAAATGTTGAACTAATCTTAAGATTTTTAAAATCTTCATCTTTTAAAGATGGAGCTGAAGAAGATATCACCTCAATAACTAGAATTTCCAAAGGATTGAGGCCTCTTTTTCTTCGTTCTTCATTTACTAACCAAACAAAATGATGATTAAAAAAAATTACATTAAAAAAATAAGATGAACTATTAGACATACTGGAATCAGCTCCGGAGACTGTCTCCTTTGATACGATCAAAGCTTCAACATCCGGGTCGGTAATAGTTGGGCCATAAGGATCATAGATTGGCCCAACCTGTGATTTGAGGAAAATGAGTTAATATGCAACATCAGATAATATTCCCAACAGTGAAACCAACATTTACTTCATATAGTAATCCTCTGCGAATATTATTTAGAAATTTCGCAGTTTTTTCGATTCGTGTATCGATTGATTCCATATATTCTTTATACTTTTTATTTATGAGCATTACGTCTCCTAAAACGGAGTTCTCATTAGACACGTATTATATACTCTCAGTCATTTGGGAGCCGTAACGCGAACCAATATCTACCTGTAACGCCACAAATTAATTTATTGGTGCTGGTCCACGCCGACATTGTTAATAAGATCTTGTGTCCCACGTGTAAATGATCGAAAGTTCCACCGACAGCAACTTTCTGAAATATCTGAGGTTTATCATCGTCCAGTTTCTTATCGATAGAATTTTGAAAATTTAAACCAATCTGAGATGGAGGAGAGGTGATGGTGTCCATTATATGGATAGGAAGTTCTACTAATCCTGCTGCTTTTCTGTTTTCGTTGAACTTTTCTAAAACAGTGCGTTCTATCACGAGTTCGATTAGTAAATTGCACAAAAAAAGAGTGATTCGAATCAAAAAATGATAATGATTTACCCAAATCGTTTCCGAAAAGCACTTCGAGATTCCATTCTTTTTCTAATTCTGCAGAATATCCGCACCAATCTTCGAAGATCACATCAATCTCAAGAAATGGTCTTGAGAGTTCGTAAGACATTCTTGTCCCAGAAACGTAAAAAGCGCTCAACAAATTGTGAACTTCATTCCAGCATTTCAGTGGCGTTTTTTCATAAAAACCTATATCTTTGCAAGAGACATATATAACTAAGCGTTTAGAAGAATTCTTTACCGCTAATTCAACTAATTCTCGATGGTGGTCGGTAAAAGAAATAAGGGAAGGGAGTGTAATTCGAAGCAACGAGGAATTATAAGGCAGTTGATTTTGCATTTTTGTGTAATATTTATTGAAAAAATTAAGATCGTAAAATAACATTTTGGCTCGCCAATTGGCATGCATCCAGATTAGGGATGGGCGCCCAGTATCGATATGGAACAAACCTTTTTGGAAATTTTTTCGTTTTAATAATTTTCCCAAAATGGATCTCATCCTGAAACCTATACCTGGTTAATGTATGGAAAATTTATTTTTTAATGCAAGTTCTGAATCGGTTGTTTTTATATGGTCGAAGTTATCATTATCATAATTAAAAAATTCTCAAAGTAGTACAAGTTACTACTAAAAAAAAATTCAAAAATTAAAATTGTTAAATAAACAACAAATAATGTATCTTAAAGAAATAACAAATTTTGAATTAAATCCAGAGATCTAATGGATACATTTTAGTATCAATAAAATTATCAATATACTATTTTTAATTTATTAATGATTTTTGATTTTTCATGATTTTTTGCTAATTTTTTATCTTTTTATTTAATTATATTTCTTATTTTTTATTTTAAATTTATAAATTCAACATAACAAGATTTTGATAATATTATATTTAAAAAAAAAAGTTTTAAACTGAAACCAATTGATTTATAAATTAATTTCAGTTTAGATTGATTTAATTTTTAAAATTTTTTAATACAATTGAATTGAATCAGATCAAATTTGGATTGAATCAAATCCAATTTTAAATTATTTAAATTTTATATTTAGATAAAAACAGAAAAAAATAAAATCAAAATAAAATATATAAAACAATAAAATAAAAAAATAAAATAATTTTTATAACTTAATTCTGTTTCATTTATATTTTTACTTTGTTATTTTAATAATTATAATATTGAATTTAAAGTTTAAAATAAAATATTATAATAAAATAAAAAACTAATTAATTAATTTTTTTTTAAGATAATCAAATATAAAAAATATAATTATAATATATATAAATATATAATATTCAAATTATATTTAAAAATTCATAAAAATTAGTATATTATATACTTTTTGCTATAGTTTTAAAAATTCAACATATATAGACTTATATAAACTTATATAAATTTGTATAAGATTTAGAATATTATTAAAATTCATAATAGAATATGACCCATATATTAAATTTAATATAAACTTGAAAATCAAAATCAAAATCAAATCAAATCAAATTATTAAAATTCTTACTCTTTGCAAATTATTACTTATATAATATTTTTATTTCAAACTTAAAAATCTAATATCTATAATATTTTTTTTAAAAATATAAAGAACAAATCTATAAGTGATAAAAATTTTATTACTAGTTTTAAACTATCTAATTTATTTTAAATCTGATTTATAAAAGAAATATTATGTTTAAAAAAATTAATTCAAGTATCTTCTTTCATTTTATTATATAAACCTTAGATTATAAACTTGTATTGATTTTGAATTTATATAAGCTATAATTTTTCTTATCACTTGTAACAAATATTATTCTTTTAAACTTTATATCAGATTAATTTAGTTTAAACTAGGATTTTAATTATATATTGTATATTATTGAAATTTGTAAATCCTTAATACAATTAATGCAATTATTTGATATAATTAATTGAATTACCATTAAAACATATAAATAATTAAGGCTTAATACAATTATTTTTAAGAATTTTGATAATTGAGTTAATAATAAATAATTTATAACATATGTATAATTTCAACTATTATGAAACAAATATTAATTAAAATTAATTAAGATAAAATATAATTCTATTTGTATATTCAAATATGTCACATTTTTACTAATTAAATATTATTATCTTTTTTGAAAATTACAATCTTAATATTTATTAAATCAGTATATGAAATAGCTTTTTATAAAAATAATATTTAATAAATTATGATATTAAATTTTTAGTTTTTTATAGTTTTAAAAAAATATAATAAATTGAAATTTTTTTTATTAATTCTTTTATTAATCTAAAAATAAATATTCTCAAAAGATTTTAATAATAAAATCTGTATATTTTCTTTAACAATATTGATTTTCTAATTAGCAAACTAAGTAGCTACTATCATTTGTTTTTTTTGTATATATATTTTTTATTGAGTTATTTATATTCAATTATATATATATTTTAGATCCATTTAAATTAACCTCATATCATATCTATAGACTTATTCAATATATCAATTGAACATCATAAGGGTGAATCCACACCTTGGAGGGATTATTATTAGGGAATAAAAATTCTATTACTGGTTTTAAACTATCTAATCTAATTTAAATTCTGTTTTGACTATATCTGTCATGGAAGAAGCATCAATTATTATCTTTCAGGAATTAGTAGAACACCTAGATATCCTAATACTTTTTGCTCAAAATTTTAGAGAAGGTAAGTTATTCATTGTCACCATTTACAACTTCAAGTTATATTAAGTACATATTTAAGATATATTTTTCTTTTAAGCAAGTGCCGGATTAGGATAGCCCTAGGCTAATATATTTTTTTTTGTATAATGGAGTCTGTTATACTAGTTTTTGAATTAGTGAACTTGTATAGGAGCTAGACCAGAAGTCTTTTTGTGTAACCTTTTCTGCTTTGACCTGTTTTCAGCCTATGATTGTCAGAAAGACCAGAGGTTTCATCTTTGTGCAACCTAACTGTTTTTGATAAGGGATTGGTAGCTAATTGGATATGATATGTGTTGGAAGCTGGTCAATCAATCATGAAGGTAATAAAATAAAAATTTTTTTATTATTTTAATAAACAAAATTTAAAATTTAAAATTTAAAATAATTTTATAATTAAAATTTATAAAATTCTATTAAAATTCTATTATAGAAATATGATTTATAATTTAAATATATTATTTAAATATACCTGTAGGTTCATAATATAATAGTTAACACTTCACAGATCAAATCACAAAATACTAGTTCAACCTTATATGAAGACAGTTGAATAGAATTAATATGATATCTGGTACCATAACCTGTAAAAAGTACTATTTCTCATGAGAAACCATTTTACATACTAATTCAGTAGGTGTTGAGATTGTGATTTCTAGAAAAGGTGTCATGGTGTAACAATTATCCAGTTGGTATTACAATTATTGCCAGAAGTTATAAGATACATGAGATGTCTACTTTTGATAAATAGGTTTAATGATTCTTCTCCTAATATCTAACATCTTTCATACAGATCCTTACATTGGTTTCATTCCAATCCAGTAATAAATTGGTCTGGTGATACTTATCTTGAAAAGGCTTTTGGCTATAAGTCTTGTTTCCTGCAATGTGTAAGTCAGTGTTCAAGTGGTAAGCATCAGTTATAAGTACCTTGAACATTCTTAAGTATCATTGGACAGGTAAGAAATTAAATAGTTAGCCTAGCTGCAAGTAGTGATAAAGGGATTTATCTCTGATGACACAAGCAGTGATTATGTAGCTTTATTTATTATAGATATTATTCCTAGTGCCTCCTTTCAACTTCTCCTTAATTTCTTCCCAGTTAGAAATAAAGCTGTTCAATTACTAGTGAAAATACATACTACTAGTTCAACAAAAGAATATCCTTGTCCAGTAGATTAGCCTCTATACCTAATATAGTTAAGAACAAGCTATAGCAAATGTCATTATTTGGAGCAATCCCGATAAGTGTTAGGTGTAACTGACAACTGATACATTATAGCATAGTTCTAGATAGTAATGTCTAAAGATATATGTAAATATCATTATGAGGAATAAATATCCAACCAGACAATTATCACTGGTGCACTTTAAATATATAAATATATATATATATATATAATTTAAATATTTACAATAGAATTATAAATAAAGTAAATCACAAATTTTTATTTAATTAAATATAAAATTATTTAGTATAATTAATATACTGTAATAAAATAAAAATTATTTTTTTTTAAAAAAGTTAATTGTTTTTTATATTGTATATTTTAAATAATACAATATTTTTTATCAAATTATTTGATAACATTATTATGAACTTTAATTCAAAGTTAAGAAATTTTCAAATATTGTTTTAATTAATTTTATTTTGATAATTAATAAATAATTTTACAAAAATTAATGTAATATGGGTAATTATTTTCGAAGGCGGACTGGAAATTTTCCGGTGTGATCCTAAAATTTATATTATATATGTATTGTTTAAAAGTTGGGTCCGAAAAAATCACATCTAGTATTTTTTGTCACCTTCAAAAATAATGACCCATATTGAAAATCCAGTATGCAATATATACGATCTTTTATAACAAAAAATATTTTATTGTAAAGTAATTAAAACGAAAATTGTGATTAGTCAATGCTATATTGATTTTTTATATGCAATTTATATTGTAAATAAAGAATTGCAAAATAAAAATTTTTTAATAAAATATTGTTCACAAATGAATGCATTAAATTTTAGGTGACACACACCATCGTCCCATAAAATAATTTTCAGCAACATCATAAAACCTCATTCTGTGATACCAGCTATTCTCTTGTCAGTTATTACATTAGTACGATGTGATACAGTATGTCGGAAACGTTTAGATTAGCTTTATTGACTTTATATCTATTTTAATTATCATACATTTATATTGTTGAAAGAGGAAACTTCGTAAATGCATAAATTTTTTGGTGACACATACACTGTCGTCCCGTACACAATAGGATCTATATTTGTTCCTCTTCCTGTAATACAAAAAAAGCTAAAGGATACTTAATACAACTCGGTTATTGAGATCAACCTTTTACCCATAATACTAAAAATTTAAATAAATATGTTCGATAAACATTACAAAAAGGGTAGGGCTCATTTAGCAAACGCTAAAAAACAAAAATCCGAGGGTCGTCTAAAGGAAGCACTAGAGGCTTATCAAAATGCCATCGAAGAGTTTAATGCTCAAGGATCCTCCATATTCCATGACGTAAAAAGACACTTAGCTAAAGCTTATTCAGAATGCGGAGATATATACGAGGGTTTGGGAAAAATGGATAATGCAGATGCTTGCTA